ACTTCACAGATATTTGTTTCTGTCCCAATGGAAAACATCCCCTAAACCTGTGACAACTAGAGGTTGTCTGTTCTGTTGAGATTTAGGAAAGCCCCCAAAGCCTTCCCATTGAACTCACAGACCTGTTTCTGGGCTGAAGCAGTGGTCCACCAAGAGCCTCAGCAAGACTGCTAAAGTCCAGGGGATGATTCCTGGTGGCTTCAATGTGCTTCAACCATGCTGTATAGCTGTGTGCTAACAGCTTCACCTGCTACCCTGCCATGGCAATTAGCACAGCTGGGCATGAGTTTCTGGATGAAACTTGGGCTTTTTTAACTTGGGAAGGACCCCTCTGCTGAGCCTGGAACGGTTGGGGTTTGCTCTCATCACACTTTGGTCAGGGAAGAGCTTTACCACTGCCAGGCCTGATTTTCTGGAGGAAACCTCTTGCCCGGGAGAAGGCCACAGTGGCAGGGATACATGCCACCCTGAGCTTTGCTTCTCAGACTTCCCCTCTCTCTGCTCCCAGAAGCACCAAAAGATGCTGGCTTTGTCCTGGTGCAGAAAGCAAGCAAATGCCAAAGCGTCTGTTTCTTGTTTCCTAGCCCACCATAGCAACGAGTGGGCAGTTAAGTTCTCCTAAATTTGTTGTTGTTTATGGCTTCTTCCAAGGGGAGGTGCTTCTACTGTGCAAAAGTGCATTCCAGTGACAGCATTGCTCATCACCAACTACTAGTGAAGGGCAGGCATTTTTCAATGTCTTGTCTGCAAGCTTGTCCTTCGGCTCACGTGTGTTTTTTAGATAACATTTACGCACCTAGTTTCACTGATGCCGTAGTGTAAAAATGCATAAACACACAACATTTATTACAGCGTGATAAAATGAAGTATCATTTAAGCAAACATTGGCTCAGAGGCCAACTTTCAGGCTAGTGCCAATCTTATAATAGTCATAAACTCCAGCTTTTATAATTGATAATGTTGACAAGCTCCTGCCTACCACAGCAAGTGTAACCACCACACACTGCTACAATCTGCAGTACTTTGCAACACCCGGCATCAGTGGTTCATTATACAATGTCAGCCAGTTAATCAATGAGGCAGCAAATAGCCATATAAAATCATAGAAGTGCATCTCCAAACGGCTTGAGAGGATCTCCTGACCACAGGCAGAAATGCTCGACTCCAGTGAGACCTCACCTGCAGAGAACGTGAGCTGGATCTGCTCCTCAATGATCTCCAAGGCAATGAAGTCGTGCTTCTCGTTAAAACGCCCGTTGTAGAGGAGGAGAGCGTTCCTCTCCCTGGTTGCAAACCTAGAACGCAGAGATGAGGGGTTAGCTCATGCTTAACGGCTTACGAATTAAAGACTGACGATTAAGTCGCCCAGAAGAAACACAGCATTGTATTTAGCAGAAAAGCAAGCCTTTGAATCTTTCTTCAGACAGAAAATTATAAAATTGAGGAGCCAGCCGCAGGATAAATCTACTCTTTCACAATCAACAGAGGCAAGCAAGGTGGAAATTACAGAAATGTACTCTGCAGAGATCTGCTGTGGATGCTGACCTTCACAAGGGGTAAAATTAGGCAGACACACAATTCACAGTACGTATCTGACGCTCACCAAAGAGTAGCACTTACTACACTTTGCAAATAGTCCAAAAGCTAGAAGGCATTCTCACATCAAAGGGGGGATACTTGCTGCCTGCTTGCTGTCTAAACGCTATAGGGTACACAGAGAGTCATCAACTGATTAAAAAGACCTTATGGGGAGGCAAAGGGTAAAGGAAGATAACAGTTACTTTAATAATGACATGTAGACAATCAGGGTTCATCAATCAACAGGTCAGTCAGTTGGAGGATTTCTAGAAGGCATTCTCACATCAAAGGGGGGATACTTGCTGCCTGCTTGCTGTCTAAACGCTATAGGGTACACAGAGAGTCATCAACTGATTAAAAAGACCTTATGGGGAGGCAAAGGGTAAAGGAAGATAACAGTTACTTTAATAATGACATGTAGACAATCAGGGTTCATCAATCAACAGGTCAGTCAGTTGGAGGAAGAAAAATAAACACTTAAATGATTCCACTAAATCAGCGCCAATGGGTGGGTTTTGGTTTTATTTTTCTTGTGCTTCTAATATGAGATGTATCACACCTTTCCTGCAGAAGAAGAGGCAGCCCCGCTTTTCAAAAGGCCTGGGGTTTTTTGTCTGCAAATTTCTGCATGTTGTATGCATGTTATCATTTTTAAGTGAATCCTATTATCTTTGGGGATTTACATACAGCTTTCATCTACTTAGAAATGCAAAAAATTATTACACTCTACAGAAACATTTTTACAAAGATTAATATTATATACAGAGAAAAAGAGAGAAACCATGGGAATTTCTTGTGTTTCCAAATGGTGGTGTAGTTTGATTGTGTATCTTGAACTTCAGGAATTATGCCTGATTTAAATTAACCCACTTTTCCTACAGATGAATCAAACGCTGAAGCCAGCTAATGAAAACTTCCTTCCATGGACAGAAGAAATGATTCTTGTGCCTGTCATGTCATGTCTACTAGCAAGACTCCCATGCAATGCAACAAAACCTGCATTCAGAGAATGTGAAAGCAGCAGTATTTTTGAACATTAAGGTTTGGTATTTGAAATAAAAAAATTCAAAACCAAAGAATATTTTTTAACAAAAGTTGTTTCTCAGACATACGTATGTTGTGGATCACAGCAAGTAGAGGCCTTTTTGAACCAAGAGCCTGAATCTGAGCTACATGGAAATGGACATTTTTATTCCATACATTATTTAATATTTTTGAAGGACAATGAATTGTTCTGGTTCAAAACCCAGAACTCAAAATTTTGACATTTCCAATAAAATGCTAACTCCAAAGAATATCTGTTAGAGTCCATAAAAATAGTATAATACTGCTTTGATTACTTTTAGAATCACAGAATAGAATCTTAGAATCGTCTAGGTTGGAAGGTACCTTTAAGATCATCAAGTCAAACCATCAACCTAACACTGCTAAAACTGTCTTCTAAATACCTCCAGGGATGCTGACTCCACCACTTCCCTGGGCAGCCTGTTCCAACGCTTGACGACCCTTTTGATGAAGAAATTTTTCCTAACATCCAATCTAAACCTCCCCTGACACAACTTGAGGACGTTTCCTCTTGTCTTACCACTTGTTACTTGGGAGAAGAAACTGACCCATACTTCTCTACGGCCTCCTTTCAGGTATTTGTAGAGAGCAATAAGGTCTCCCCTCAGCCTCCTTTTCTCCAGGCTAAACAACCCCAGTTCCCTCAGCTGCTCCTCATAAGACATGTGCTCCAGACCCCTCACCAGCTTCATTGCCCTTCTCTGGACACACTTCAGCACCTCAATGTCTGTCTTGTAGTGAGGGGCCCAAAACAGAACACGGTATTCTAGATGGGGCTTCACCAGTGGGATGATCGCTTCCCTAGTCCTGCTGGCCACACTGTTGCTGATACAAGCCAGGATGCCATTGGCCTTCTTGACCACCTGGGCACACTGGTGGCTCATATTCAGCCAGCTGCTGACCAACACCCCCAGGTTCTTTTCTGTTGGGCAGCTTCGCTCTTCCCCAAGCCTGTAGCGCTGCATGGGGTTGTTGTGACCCAAGTATAGGATCCGGCACTTGGCCTTGTTGAACCTCATACCATTGGCTTCCACCCATCGATCCAACCTATCCAGATCCTACCCTCCTGCCTTCCTACCCTCAAGCAGATCAACACTTCCGCCCAGCTTGGTGTCATCTGCAAACTTACTGAGGATGCATGTAATCCCCTTGTCCAGGTCATTGATAAAAGTATTAAACAGAACTGGCCCCAGTACTGAGCCCTGAGGAACACCACTTGTGACCGGCCACCAACTGGATTTAACTCCATTCACCCAATCAGTTTTGAAATACACCTTTATTTCTAAATTTATTTAACATAATATAAAATAATATTATAGCAGTAAAAGGCAAACCAAATGAACTAAGACAATATTGTTGAAATATTATCAAAACACTGATTTAGTTTTCAATTTTCACCATCAAACTTTTCATCCAAAGGAATACAGTTTCAGTACAACATTTCCCATTACTGCATTTTTCCCTGGATAACTGCTTCATCAAAACATTTTTATCAGATCTATTCAGAATATATACGAGCAAAAGAAATTAGAATATTAGTGATGCTTCTTTAGTGGGCAGAAGGACTTATTTTGATTAGCAACAAGAGGAACCCTAGTTCTGTTTGAATATATTTTTCTGATTAAATTACTAAACTATTTTTTGTATATCCTTACTCTGTGTGTGCTCAGTTCCATTCTTTGCCACTAGTCAAAAGCATCTTTTGTATCGTACTAATAGTTAAAGCACTATTGCTTTTGAACTTGTCTAGTTATCACCAGCTGGGGAAAAGAAACACTGTCTTTTAATAAAAGGGATATTTTTAATTTCAGGACATAGGAAACAAAAGACACTTTCTTAGAGAATTTTGAATAAATAGTGAGAAAACCTCTCCACTGACAGTGTCTCTTGTAGCAAGTGTTGGGAGGAAGAAAGGAAGACGTATAATGTTGGGAGCAGAAAGTCACGCCTGGTCAGTAACCTAAATACTTTTTTAAAAAAATCACATTTTAGTTATGAGGCTCGACAATGCAAACATTCTGCTCTTTGCCAGGAGCCGGTCATGAATCACTTTGAGGCTGAAGGAAGTTAGACACTCTGGGATTTTACAAATGCTCCCAAATCACACAATATGTAATGGCAAATCATTGTCTAGTCAAACTGCTAATTCTTGCTTTTCCTCACATAATGTTTTCCACTTGCATTGAAGGATAATAAAAGCCAAAGAAATAACAAGTGTAAATAAAAGTGAACTTCAGGTATGAAAACATAAATGTGTCATTATTCTATGATTCTGTGATAAATGTTATCCCAGACAGTGTGGGATGAACCCCATGATGGTCTAGACTTCTTATAATCATACTGAGTGGACTAAGGAGTGTGTAGCTAATGACTAAATATACCATCTTAATTTTTGAAGATGGTGAAGAAACCCTGGTGTAAGCACTACCTTGCTACAGTAGTTTGCCGTTTCTCAATAACCCCTACCCAGAGAATTTGAGTCACTTTAACTTGAAGCACCCTACACGTCAAAGATCTCTTCCTGAAAGCCTGAAAAATGACACCACGTGGCTGTGGGGACAAGCCAAAGGTAGTGCAGGTAATTTACGCTGGCAGCCAGCCCAGGCTGCTCCTTTGTTTGCACTCACTGTAGCTCTGACAAGTCCAACAGAGCCTTTTGCTCCTCAGTTTTTCCGTGTACTTAGATCTGATGCTCTAAATCGATCTTCACAGGCACATCTCTTCCCTGCCTCGGCTCACCTGCAAACCATGTCTGTGCTTTCTGATTTAAGCAACATGTCAAGATTCCATAAAATTTCAGACCTTGGGACTAAGACAGATGAAGGATAAAATGGAAGGAAGCTGCCTGTCTCCTCAGAGCTGTAAAACCCCAGGTAACTGCTGGGTGTTGAATGGAACGTGTGCCTGGTGGTGTCCTCCCTGAGCATCTTCTCTGGACAGACACATAAAGACGTCTGTCATTGTTGCTGTTGCTGTACCAGCAACAAATCCCCGGCCTAGCTCTTTGGGGTCGGGGTTAACACATTTTGTGCTATTTACTCACAGTCAACCGCGAGGGAGAACCAAAGGTCAATCCGGACCGGGTAAACCATGGGAAAGCTGCAAACACGCACCCTCTCTGGAGAAGACACATGTGCACACCTGGAGCACTGGCTCCATGGCAGGAGAGCCCTATGCTATGGCCTGACCCAAAAAGTCTTCTCCAAAAGATGTTTTTTTGCCTCAGGATGTGTGAGCCAGGGAAGGAGAGACCTGGTCCATGCAGTGCAGCTGCCACCATCGCTCCCCAAGCTCCAATTGCTCCTCCAGTGCCCTCATGGGAAAAGCAACAGTCAGCCCAGGAAAAGGCTGTCCAACGTGGAGATGTTGGAGCAGATGGGATGGGGAGGAGGCGAGTTGTGCCTGGTAGCCAGGATGGGACCAGAAGCAGGAGATGGGTGTAGAGGCCAAGAGGAGCGAGGCGAGGAGCTGGGACAGTTGGGGTTATCCCAAGCCCAAGGCTGGGGACCAACAGACAGCAAGGACCTGAGGTGCTCAGCCATGGCCTGGGGAGACCAGGTCCTCTCACAGGCGGGCAAACAGGAAAGGGGAAGAGCGCTCCCGAACAAGCAGCACAAACTATGAGCCTCCACCTGAATGTCAGGAGGCCGCAGATGCAACTAGAAAAGCACCTGACATGCCCGAAAGGCGGCAAACCCACCACCCACCCTCGCACCTTTCCAACCTAGGGCTCCTGAGAGGTGGCCAGACAGGCCTTAGTGTCTCCTTTCCCTGTACCATCACCCTGTGCTGCAGCAGAGGAAGGTCGGGAGTGAGCATCCCAGCAGTATCCTCAGCAGGGTAGGAACCAAATGCTTTCAGACAACATGATGGTGCCCCACTTGCAGGAGTCACTGTCAGAAATACCTAGAGTGACTTCTACATGCAGATAACTCGCTTGATGACAATATTTAAGAAACACCCCCCAAGCTCCAGCGGAGAAGTCACCAGCCACACAGCCTTTCCCCACCGGGACTTACATGAGGGAGACGGTGAAGTGGAAGCGCTGCCGCAGCCCCTTGAAGGTGATGAAGGACTGTGGTGGGAAGCTCCTGGTGGTCATCTCGCAGTACGGCCGCTCGTATTCGCCCGGGGGACACTCGCACTTGAAGCCCCCAATCAGCAGGTTCACGCAGGTTCCTCCGTTCTTACACACCCCTGGAGCACAGCGTCCGGAGCGTGCATTCACCTCACAGTACTCTCCTGCAAGGGGAGAAGCAGACATCAGGGAAGGCGACACCTCACCCCAGCAGCAGCAAGCTGCGACACTCAGCTACCCACGTGTTTCTGAGAAAGGTTAAGCTGCTTTCCCAACTTCTGCACCTGACCCCCTCCGCAAATGAGGTGTGAGCCTGTAATTATAGGGGGGGTAAGGATGCTGCATCGTCTTTCAAGTCTGAACTTTCAGGGGGGTGTGGGATATGTTTTGCCAAGCAATCCTCTTGCAAATATCCAACAACATTGGCCCCTGTTTTCAGATTCCTTGGCCGCTTCAAGACCCAGTGATAAATATAAAGCTGGTGTTAGACAGATCTATATGGGAGGAGGTAACACCACCAGTTAAAAATTTGCACACTCCCTGTCAACCAAAATATGTGTAAATTGTTCCGGCGTTTCACTACGGGTTGGAAACTGTGCAAACAGGTAAGTGCTTGCATTCCGCCTCCAGTGGAATTTGGCTTTGCTGCCCATGGTGGTGGCTGGGCACAGCTGAGCTAGCGACACTCGCGGAATGTGTATAGGAAGAATTAACAGGATGTCGATGACATACATATTGCTTCCATGTTTTCCCGTGTATCCTGCAGGTGACAGCCATTTTCTGAACCTTTCAGAGATGTGCGCAGTAACTCTCTGCAGAAGTTACAGGTTCTGTGTACCGCTCACAGAAGCTGTTTCCCCCCAAATACTTGGGCTTTATTCTATTCAAAAGTCAGTATCAAGATGTGTCAAATTCAACTACTAAAGAATCAGGTGTCTTGCCTTTGTATGTACATTATAACTTTTCCTGTATTTGCCCAATTAAAAAAAATATTGTGATAATAATAATTTGTGATAATAATAATTTGTGTTCATAATATAGAGAGGATATCCACTTAAAAATTCTGTGGTTGGGACAAAAGCAGCTGCTGAATTAACCATTGTACAGAAAGCTAAACCCTCTATGTGAGTTAATTAGTTAACATTTATGTTTTGGCATGTGTCTTCCTAAGATATAAAGCATGTTCAGATCCGGCACATAAAAGTGTTCAGAGAAATTGAAGATGGCATATATAGTTGAATTTTACCCAGTAACAATGTCTGAGAAACAAATGTAGAGCAAAACTACTCAACACAGACAGCTGAAGGAATGCGTACATTTCTAACAGTTTGATATTTGCATGATTACTCACTACCAGATTATACAATTACATTAATTCAAGCACAGTTAAAACTGTGCAAATGCATTCCTGGAGGAAAGTAAAAGCAGCAGGAGCTGTGGGCAGTGACTCACAAACAAAGGCAAATTAAAACGGAAAGTTTTGCTCCAGTCGCTGCCCCCGCAGCCCTACTTCCACAGGTTCCCACGCCAAAGTGTTGCTGCATCCAGACCTGGACCTACACCTCTTTTCTATGCCAGCCTGTAAACTGCCATGGTTTGCAGCTGGTTTGGCCACTGCCCCACGGATAGAGATCTCTGCAACAAGGAGGGGTGGACAGCCCGGCTGTTATTGCTCTCCAGCTTTGCTGTCTTTCTCCTCTTGCATCAACATCATGTGCCTTTCAGGCAGGTATGACATACACCAACAAAATGCAGGAGCAAATAAGAGTGTCATGGTCATGCAGCCAGCCAAATGTAGGCCCAATTCAGGTGAGCTCAGCTCCAGGGGATGGACCTCTGGTCCTGCCCCGTGTTCCCTACGATGTGCTGAGCCATCGTGCAACTGCCTCCTGATGAATGCATTTGTGGGCATCTCCTGGCAAAAAATATACTGGGGTGTTTCAGCGTAGGTAAAAAGGATGCAACACAAAGCACAGGGGAGATGAACATATAATAATATGTCTCTCTATAATAATAATTCTAACAGTTAACAAATTATGAAATAAACCTTCTCCATCATCCTAGAGTAAGCGCAAGCCAAAACCTCCTAAGTAATAAACCATATAGCCAAGAGTTCAACTTCAAGCCTGTGCTTACAGCTTTTCTGATTCAGGATTGATGTTCCTACATTCTCACTTTAAAATATTAAGATGAAATGCTGTGAAAACAACTTGATAAATATCTTTCTGTTTCCATTTATCAACTGTGAGCACCAGGCAAGACTACATGAATACACCTTCCTTATCACTTTAAAATGTTCTACAATGTGCTCTTTGAAGAGAAATTTTATGTATCATCCAAGAGAGAAAATTCCCTCGGTGTACTGGATATGCCAAACAAAGCGGACACACACATCAGATGCACCAAGAGGACACTACAGAAATCATAAGCACAGCCAACCCCCCTTAACACATACACATATCTTGTGTCAAAAACTCTCAAAAAACTGGAAAACCATAATTCCTATAGAAAGACTAAACACAGGTTTGTCACTTTAAAAAAGTAGTAGGATATTTTGTCAAATAACTCTCCAACTCAGAGAGGAATGCAATCTTAAAGGCTTTCAGAAAACAGAATGATATATTTGGCAAAAGCAAATAACACGCAGGCTTGAACACACAGGGAGAAAAAGGAGTGAGCTAAAAGGAGAGATTCCTGGCACTGTACTACACTGTGGAAATGCCATGGCAATATGGAGGTGGAATAAAAAAGCCTAAGCTGGAACTCATTGATGGTTCTGTATTAATTCTGTGATATAACAAGAACTTATAGACCGTTTGTTTAGCTACCTATACAGGCAGAAAAGTATTTAAGAGAAAAGAAAGCCCACAGAAAAGTTCTATTGAATTATGGTTATTACTGCTTTTCATTGTGATGCTTAAAGAAGCAGTTTTAAAAAACTGTAGTTCAACTTTGAATAAGATCCTTTGTCCTATATTCATTCAGCTGTAGCGTCATTGATGTCCCAGTTACTAAAATTATTCTGAATTGTCTTTACTCTGTAATGTAAATGAGAACTGCATTTGATGCACGCTCTTTGATGTTGTATTTTCATATTTTATGTATATTTAACAAAATATATTAAAATGGTGTTTTTTAAATATCTATAGTAACTCCAAGTCACCACTGTGCTTCAAGGCACAAAGGTCTACCAAGAAACGTGATAAATCCTTAATTACTCTTTTTTTCCAAAAGTGCCTGGAATTATTTAGAAACATGGCATTTTTGGCTGTATGGAGTAGCCATCTGAGCAAGTATTCAAAGCACTGCTTTGATCAGGATTGGCCACCGCACACACCTTTGTGTGGCTCTTGGGTTTTATGTGGCTCTTCCAAGAGCGGCCACCTCATCCTGCACACATCACCATCCCACAGCACTGCCCTGCGGGAGCTCTGAGGCATGGCCTGAAAAGCATCTTCAAAATTTGAACCAAAGCCCGCATGTACTTGAAGGACGAGCTGGTTGCTGGCTGGAGCCGGAGTCGGAAGCCCCTAAGGGAAGAGCTACTTGAGGAGCTGAAAAGGAAGGGATGTGCATCCGCCAGCCTCTGGGATGAAAAGCGTCTGTGTGCCTGCTTGCAGCTGAAGGTCGGAGGGCTGGGACACCCTGTCAGAAGGGATGTCTCGCAGTCCAGTGGGAAAAAATAGTACAGAAAAGAGGGAGAGCTGCTGTGCAGAGAGGGCCTGGAGGGGCTCGGGGTGATAAGAGCACAGCCCAGATAGCTGCCACACACAGCCTGGGGACAGTCTGCAACGCTGGCAACACCAGCATGGCTCACCCCCTCACCCAGCCCGTGGAACTCCCTTTCACTCCTCATGGCATCCCCTTTGCTAATATAATTTCATTTTTCACACTGGCCAGCATTTTAGGAATCACTTAAAAAACCAGTTACGTATCACAACTCTGCGAAACCCAAGCAGGAGATGTGAAGCTTGGTCCCTCCAGCTGCTAAATGCAAAGCATGCACTGTCAGATAACACAGGCCACGGCTGCCTGTTATCTGCTGACAGATTCCTGGGTTTTGAAAAAATCCTGGCCCAAGCCAGCAAACGATTTACTGTTACAGGACAGTAGCTGATCTTATATGCTCTTAATTAATATTGATGACTCTTAAAGCTACAACTCCTGTGGCTTTCACACAGCCCTTTAGATAGTGCTTCCCGGTTTTAAAGCACTTGAGATCACAACGTGATAGTTGCTTTCGACACTGCTTTCTACTCTCAATCATCATATATCTCTTCTCCAATTTTAGGATTAACTTTACAAAGACATGAATCATATTTTTTTTTCTTATTAACTTTATGTAAGTGAGGATACCACGGTATCAGGTGTAACATAAGAACAGGCAAACCAAAAGACGGGCTAAAAGATTTGGTCTTCTGCACTATTCCAAGTAAAGTAATGGAAGAGTTTAATGAATAAACAATAAATGATTATAAAAAAGTGAAAAGAAATAAAAATAAGCTATCTGAAAAATGAAGAAATAATCTCACAATTGCAAAGACCTTGTGAGCTGAACATTATGGGTTTCAAACAGCACACTGGTGTGCATCAGTGAGCCGGTCTTTGCAGAAATCTGCCTGTGGTTTGCTGGTGAGTTGCCTGACCTTACAATAACAGACAATGTATAACCTTGGAAAGCTTGCTGGAAACAACATGATGGCATCAGAAAAAATACAGAATAACTCTACACTTCAGTTTACTGCAATGCGTTTCCACAATATCTCTGTTTGAGGACTAGTCCTCAAAAATTTGTACTATTCTCTGACTGTTTTCAACTGAAATACTATATTCACATGAAGCAGCAGACCTGCACTCATGTCCTTGTTTCTTTTTATTTCCCAGTTTCCCTAGACACATGTTAATTTTTCACTCAGTATCTGTAATTGTTTGACTTCAACTGATTCTTCTTTCCTCCATCCTGCCATTTGCTCTAGATACATATTAATTTCTTCTCTGTGTTTGTAGTTACTTCACCATAATGGAAAGCATTTTGAGAAGCTGATTTAAGCAGCCAGCCTAAAATGATGTACTTAAAAGTGTAAACAACAAGAAATAGGGCAAAAGGAGAAACAACAAGAAATAGGGCAACTAAATTCTTCAAAGAATTCCCATTGACCCACTG